TGCACATGATTGATTACTTTTTTGCAAAGTAAATGTTCACCACATTCACTAGGCTAAGGAACAATTCCTTACAAAGTAAAAAGTCCCTTGCAATATGAATAGCCAATTGCTTTTAGTAAATCAACCCCACTGTGTTACCAGGGCCTGACTAACAGGCAGGGCAAATGCTAGAGCGGTGCAAGGCCTCAGACAGATGGTCAGAGCAACCAGCAGACAGTGACAGATTTAGCAGGCTGGTGACCAGATCAAGGGAAGAGATAAGTCATTAGCGCAGCAAGAAATATCAACTTTTATAATTTATGACAATAGTACTTATAGTTACATAGTTAGTCAGGTTGAAAAAAGACAAAGTCCATCGAGTTCAACCTATAGAGCTATGGAAAAAAAAGCCCACAATTACCCACTGTTGATCCAGAGGAAGGCAAAAAAAAACCCATATATAGCATGGTTCAATGTGCTCCAACAGGGGAAAAATTTCTTCTTGATACCATAATGCAATCGGATATTCCCTGGATCAACAATCTCTGATACTTAATATACCTATAAGAACTCAATATCCAGTAATATTCTGTGCATATAAGAATACATCCAGATTTTTTTTTAAACAATTAACTGAGCTAGCTAGAACTAGCTCCTGTTGGAGTCTATTCCACATTTTCACAGCTCTAACTGTGAAGAATTCTTTCCGTATGCAAAGTTTAAACCTTTTTTCCTCCAGAAGCAAAGAGCGCCCCCTTGTTCTTTGCAGTGACTTTAAAGTGAATAATTTGGCACCAAGCTCGCTGCAATTAATAATATCATCACTATGTTGCCTTGAGAATGAGACCCTATGAGGCCCCAAAACAATGGCTTTTATGGCCTATGTGATGCTGTTTTTGCACAAAATCAGTCAAATGTATATTTCTTGGAGTGCTGGTGACTTGTTCACTTGGGTTCTGCATGCTACTATCTTTTGGAGTAATTTCCAGCACCCATTGGTTACTACAGTCAAGTACTACAGGGAGTTCAGCTCTAACACAAACTATATAAGATGACCAGATCAGGCATAAGCAAAATGTTCTTAAAAGGCAAGTAGACAGGTCAATGACTGACAGTAGCAGAGGAATAGGCTGATGATCAGAATAACCACTGAAAAGCTAAGTATTAAAGTGGACCTTTATCCCCTTTGACTATAAATCACATCAGCATACAGCTATGCATGCTGATATGAAATCATCTTACATTCATTATCTAAACACACATATTTTTATTTTACTTACAATTTCTTTTTTTCCCACTTCCTGGTCCACTTTGGCACAAATTATGAAATTGTGCCCAAGCGTTGCATCATGGGAAGATTACATCAGCAGAGCATTGCTGGGGAATCTCATCTGTAATCACGAGATCTCAGGGAAAGGCATTTCCTCCCCTGAGATGATGTGCATGATCACATGTCCTAGTCACATGTGCCAGAGCTCTAGGAAGTAAAGGGAGATCTAGTAACCTGCCCTTAGTTAAAATGGCCAATGTGAGAAGGCTGGGGAAGAAAAGAAAAATAAGGTATGGAAAAAAATAAAAAGCCTGAACTTATCTAGAAGTGTCTGTTTGTAGATTGTCATTACTAAACATTTCTAAAGGTGCCTTTGCTGTTATTTTGAAGGTATGGGTAAAGTTCCTCTTTAACACAGTCCAAACAATTGGCTGGAATAATCCAGGGCATGAGCTAACAGAAGTCAGAAAGACCTGAATCTCGGGTGCAAGCAGACATGCTAACCTATAGATCAGGCACAGGCTGGAAATCCAGCAATCTTTTCAGCGTTCCTGATTAGAGCAGGTGTGTACGGCAGGTTCTTGTACACAGGTTTGTTTTTGAATTTGGAAAACCTGCTTGAATGTTTTCATTCATTATTTCGTGACTAAGGGGTCTATTCACTAAGCTGCTGAAGGATCTAGCCGTAGCTTCGGCTGATGCTTCGGCCCCAGGACCCCTTCAGTTCAGTAGAACCGAAGGGCTGCTGTACAGGCTATTCACTATAGCCCGTACAGCTCTCAAGGCATATGCTTCGGCTCGACGGAGCTGAGGTGAAAGCCGAAGCTGGCCTAAAGGACGGCCATTGGCTGGCCGAACGGACGGCCATTGGCTGGCCGAATGGACGGCCATTGGCTGGCCGAACGGACGGCCATTGGCCGCCCGATAGCCTGCTACTGACTGCTGGGCGGAACCAGCTGTCATCTCACGGATGGCTCCGGCCACTTGCACAGACAGATCAGCATCCCTGGTTACCAGGTAACCAGGGACACTGATCTCCAGACTAACTCTCCCTATGAGATAGCGGCTCCCGGCCGTCCGGGAGAGAAACACTTTCTCCCAAAAAGTTTTGCTCTGTCAATCAGCAGAGGGGACCTGAAGTTCTCCATCAGGTCCCCTCTAGTGATTGACAGCAGCAGAGGGCGGGTGCAACAGCTATTTGCTATTGGCTATTGCAAAGTGAAATAGCCAATAGGAATCTAGCTATGCATTCTTATGGTGTTTTTTTTTATTCTGACGGCAGCAGAACCGCACGACCAATAGAAAACAGTTGGGTGGAGCTAGCTGTCACTGCTAGCTCCGCCCAAATCATTTTCTATTTTATTTTTTCTACTTTTTTAACTGTTTTTCTATTCTGCTCGGTACCACAGAGGTACCGAGCAGAATAGCCGAGCAGAATGCCGCTCGGCGGCATTCCGCTATTCACTCACTGCTGTTCGGCATCTATGAGAATAGGCCGAACAGCAGCGAGTAGCCTGCCGGAGGTTCGGCTTAGCCGATCCAGATGTTGGATCGGCTGAGTCAAACTCCGGCACTTCGGGTCATATGTGTGTTTTGAGGCACAGGAATGTGAGAGCCACATTGGTGTTATGACTCACTGATATCTAATAGTGACATGTGTGTTATGAGCCACTGGGAGCTGAGAACCACATATGTGTTGTGAGTTACTGGTAACGGATAGCGATATGTGTGTTATGTGTTACTGGAAGCTGAGGGCCGTATACTGTATGTGTTATGAGTTATTGGGACCTGATCGGACATACAGTATGTGTTATGATTCTCTGGAACCTGATAGGATATGTGTTATGAGTCACTGGGACCTGATTGGCGACATGTGTGTTACAAGTCATTGGCATCTGAGAGCCACATGTGTTACGAGTTACCGGATTTTAGAGATACAGTCCTAAAATTGCAGATAAGAGTGAGGCAGCCGCGCCACACCGAGCCTCAGACTAAGCAACTTGGTAGCTCTTTCTTTTAGGACACATTTATCAAACGTCAGAACCACCTGCTATTTATTTCTCCCAGTTTATGTGAATAGAACAGCCTTTCTCAACCAGAGTTCCATGGTACCCTAGGATTTCTTCAATAGTTACTAGAGGTTCCTTGAGAAATGAGCAATTTCTCAGATAAGTAACCAATGACACCAATGATCTTTCTTTCTATCTGTAGGGGAGCCTTGTTCCCACTAACTCCCAATGTAAGAAACATTCTTCCCACTGACCATTATTGAAGGGAGCATTTTTTTCACTGACCATTAGTATAATGGGGCCCCTCTCCCAATGGTCACTAATGTAAGGTAGTCCTTCTCCCACTGACCACCAATCTAAGGGGACCCTTCTTTCCTGACCACCAAAGTAAGAAAGCTCTTCACCGACCAGCAATATAAGGGGACACTTTTCCATGAAACACCAATCTCAGGGAACATTACAATTTCCACTGTCTGCATTTCCTTTCTGGCCATTATTATTATTATTTGTTTCACTATTATTACTGAGAATAATTTTGTTATATAGAGCAGCCCTGGGTGTCAAATTATGTAGGTATGTCACATTCTTTTTTATTGCCAATGTTTCCTGAGTTAGAGGAATTCCCTGAGCCCCAAATGTTTTAATGTTTTTCAAGGGTTCCTTCATGTTAAAAAGGTTGACAAAGGCTGGAATAAGCCTTATTGTTGAACACAAACATTTGTGAAAAAAATCTTACTTATGATGGTATGATGATAGCAAGTCTGAACCAGTTGAAAAGGCCAGCTTCCATGATTCAGTAATACCTTCCCCTCCTCTTCCCTTTTGTGAGTTGCTGTCAGCATGAGGCACTGGACAGCATGAGTGCACATTATCTGTATCCTCATTGCAGATAAAGTAGGTCAAAGCAGAACTCCTGGAAAATAGAACGCTTTAGCTTAAATATGTGTTTATAAAAACCATTAAAACCATTTACAAATTTGAGAGATCTGTACTTATATTATCTTCCCAAAAACCCTTGAATAGTAGATATCAGAATACAAGTGAGGGGTTATGTGTAGTCAAACTGTATTGCATTGAACAGTGATGGCAATCTAACATATTTCAGGCACTTGAGCTGAAGGGGAAGGTCTCCAGGCAGGTTGGTGGAGGAGGGAAGGGTAGGAAAGCATGGTTGCAAGTAAAGGCCACTACAGAACACACTGCCTGCTCTTGATCTAGTCATAACTGAATCATCATAGGCAGTATTGTCCACTTCATGTTACTTTAGTCTGGGGCCACAGAGCAGGCTTCTGACAAAAGGAAAAAAAGGGATACCTAGGACCAGGCCCCTCTTGTCACTGGGCTGATACTATTAAATTATTACTATTATTATACAGGATTTATATAGTGCCAACAGTTTGCACAGCACTTTACGAAATGGGGGAGACAGTACAGTTACAATAACATTTCGTGAGAGCTTACAATCTAGTAAGAGGAGCAAGTGATACAAATGACATGTCTGTGGAAGTTTTTGGAATTTTTATGATCTATTATTTTCTCATTCAAATGATACAAATGACATGTCTGTGGAAGTTTTTGGAATTTTTATGATCTATTATTTTCTCATTCAAATGATACAAATTACATGTCTGTGGAAGTTTTTGGAATTTTTATGGTCTATTATTTTCTCATTCATTTATATTTCTGTGAACACCCTAATTGTTTCTTTACCTGCTTTCATTTTTTTTTACTATGACTTTCAGCTGACTTTGGGCTTTCAAAAATTGTGGATGATCAAGTGACAATGAAGACTGTGTGTGGGACTCCAGGATATTGTGGTAAGATAAATTAAATATTTTTTATTCATTGGGAAAAAAAAAACGAAAGCATGACATCAGACTAGACATGGTCTAATAATCAATTAGAGAATGACCTCTAATGGCTTGAAAAAAAAAAAAAGAATATTGTGCTCTCGTACCATCATAGAGGTGATATGAGATTTGTCTTATCTCCTGGGTCCTAACAATTTTTCAGTATTCCTGTCCATACAGTATTAGGAGAAGAGCACAGATAGGCATGTAATGGGTTTTGGTACGGGTGCTCAGCACCTTTCTAATTTTTTTTTTATTATTTCTCATTTTTTATCACCCACATTTTTATATTAGTCCACAATAACAATAAACATGGATCTGATAAAGAACAATATTACAGACTTTTAATTACTAAGCTTGTTAACATTATTTATTAACTCATTTATTAATTTAGTAAACAAAGTTTTAGTTCAATCTCAATTTAATTAAGTTTTCTTATAAGATATATCAACAAGATAGAAAAAGAATATGACAAAGCTGTAACAGTAAGCATCAAGAATAAACAAAGTTAAACAGTAAATTCCAGAGAGGAAATATGAACTCCATGAGACATTGGTAGTAAGTAGAAGGGGATCCTTCACAGAGTATAAAAGAAAGAAAAGAAAAAAAGACCAGGAAAAGAAGTACATATAAAAAACATTGTAATATACAGTATATGAATATAGATGACATAACGGTTCAATGAACATTCACTGACCCCTTATAAACTCAGGGCAAGGCGGATAAAACCCCATATATATGTGGATGTGTTGAGACAAGAGAAGATTAATTGAAGGTAATGATGGAAAAAAAATAGGTCTGGGGGAAAATGTGTGGAGAGGGGAAGGAAAGGGAGAATAAGAGGGAGCAATAATGATCATTAAGAGACCAGATCTAGACATTTTAGAGTCATAAAATGTGTGTCCGGCAGACCATGTAAAATTGAACCGTTACCAAATGTTATGTTTTGATGCCAACAAATGTGATCAAGTTATGTGATCTAGTTCCCAATTCCACTCAGATAAGGAACATATCACCGGTGTACGCCAGTGTCATGGGATGACAGCCCTAGCAGAAGTCAGAAAAGGGACATAGGGTGCCTCTCTAACCAACTTCAAGGAGCCTGGAATCATAGATATTAAAACAATTTTGGGGTCATTTAACACCCATGAACTTGTCACCCTGTGGTAGACCCCCAAAACCCACTGCCAAAATTCCTGGATAGGAGGAAAGCTCCACCAAATGTGGTTCATGTGTCTGGTAGACCCTTAGCACCGTCAACAAGAATCAGGTATAGAGGGGTAAAAGCCATGTATCAGATCAGGACACCAGTAGATTTTAAAATTCTTTTTATGAGAATGACTAACTATAGATAAGGAATGCGAGAGAACAAAACATGTTGACAGAGTGTTATACAGTCTTTGCATTCACTTTTTTTGAAGATAATCCTTGCAAGCCTATTTTTCTCACATGGGAACCTCTGCTGACCCCACTCCCCATCTCCTTTTTTTTGGAGCCTGATTCTTCACATCTATCCTCAGAAGCATTCAATATTGTCCAGCACCTTAGAAGTGTAGAACCAGCAAAGACTGTTCAACTAGAAAGATTTAAGGGAGCTTTATTAAATACCCGGTAACGGGTGTGTGCATTTAGCGGGTCTTTTCTGCCCGTGCGTGCCCGCTAGGGGGCGCGCGCGAGCAGAAAAAAATTGCCGTCTGGAGACGGCAACCCGCAGATGCTGCAGTGCCGTCCGTCCGTTTTTTTACTACGGGCGGACGGCAAGAGGTTAAAGACAAAAGGAAATAGTTTACTGTACTCTAAGGCTTTATCAAGCTTGTCTCCATTCTCCCTGAACCTTGAAAGGCAGCATGTCTGTATGAAAAATATTGTTTTAATTAAAGTTGTGGATTAAGTGCAAGAGATGCAGAACCAGAATTGCATTACTTAGGCACCTGATGTGTACAAGCCCATGTACTGTATATTTGTTAGGGGGCTTACGAATAAGCATTGTTGATAGAGTGTCTTGTACATCATAGAACATTTTTTCTTAAGTCATGCCTCTATTTAAAGGAGAACTATGAGGTGAGTGCTTTTCACTCACCTCATAGTTCTAGCCGACCTGTGGCAATGAGACTGTCACAGGTCGGCTCAGTAGATCGGGAGGTGAGTGAACACATACCGGCGTTCGCTCACCTCTCGATCCTGTCACGGCTCCCTGCCATGATAGGGGAGGGGCTGGATTCCCCCCTCCCTGCTCCGATCCGCCAGCGCTGACTGGCGGAACGGACGGGGGAGGGGCCGGTACAGTCACGCAGCTGGGCGGATCCCGGCACAATTGTCGGGATCCGCTTCAGCTGCGGCGTTTCAGTATACCGCGAGCAGCAGCTCACGGTATACTGCAGCGTCTCAGTATACTGCGAGCTACAGCTCGCAGTATACTGAGCCTAGGGTGACGGGAGGACGCTAGTTTGTGTCCTCCCGTTACCCTAAGGAGAACTATGGGGAAAAGCCTTAACCCCATAGTTCTCCTTTAATGCATTTATAATTTGTATTTCAAAAAGTATAATAATATATTATTTGCATTCATAAAAACTGAACATTGTATAACCAGAAAATGAAATCTAGTGACCACTTAAAGTGTATTTCCACTTTTGCAGTCAAATTTGAGAAATTCCCAGTATATGTTTTTTATGTGTTTCCATTCACACAGCATGTCTAAAAATTATTTTAGAAAAAAAAATCTTCATAGTTATTTTTTTTTGGAGCAGATTTATACATAGGTCACAACAGTCAGCTTCTATTGCTTAGAATAGATGACAATGTGAAGAAAAGGAACAGACTGGAGGGACATTTTTTTTTTAAGGTGCAATCACACAATGCCTTTAGATCTTTATGTTGGAAATGCAACAGCTTATTCTAATGTAATAATGTATTTTGAGCACTAGGTGGTGCTGTAGTACAAGTCTAGTCCATGTTATTTTCGATATGCATACTTATCTATGATTTATAAGTTCCCTGTTTGATGCTGTATTCCTGTATACAAACATGTAATGTCCTGCTAAGCAAATAACATTTAATTCAGCAGTCCTCAAGATCTCAGTACCTCACCTAAACACATAACCAACACTTTTTAACCTTTATTAGGGCAGACAGTCTTGCACAACTGATAATGGAGATCTGCCAGCACAATACAAAACGGATTAATTATGGCTAACATTAACGCCACAGCCCATTCCATAACATTACATAGAATAGAAACATTTCAGTTTTGGAGTTAAAAACCAAAGTAAAAAGCAGCAAACCTAGACAGTACTACAGGTGGTGCGTGCATGACTGTCTAGGCTCACAGGAAAACGTTGGATGACGCTGAGTGTCATTCAGCCAGGAAAGTGGGGCAGTAGTGGGGCTTAAAGACAAAGATAACATCACTAAAGAAGTGTACCGTAATGTAGGTTGACTAGGTATTCCAACTAAGTGTATTGAAAGGAGGCATGGCCATGTGCCATCTTCCTGGTAGAGGTCATCTTCCTTCATTACTCATAAACACACCTAAGGAAATGTGCAGACTCCACTGGGTTCCTGCACCAATATACTCATGGCGGCTTACACGCAAGTAAATATATGTACTGCACCTTAAGTACAAAGGACAACTAAGAAATGTGCTATTTTCATATCCACTTTGGACTTTCTTTATGCCATGCTGAAAGGACGGATGTTAAAGTGAGAGGTATGTTCTAACAGCTTACACTGTAAACTACCCAATATTGCTGTTAGTTTAGAATTTTTGTAGCACCATGGAGAGGTCCCCCTACTCAAGTTTTTAGTTTGCTTTTTTTTAAACTGGGACATGAAGATACAATTATAGATTTCACTGGATAGATAGATTAGGACACATAGATTTCAGCTGGTGAAATCTGGATATGTGGAGCAAGCATACAAATTTCAGGCTGCCAAACTCTAAATGACAACAAGATATGTCTTTAGAAGGGGGAACTCCCTCATGTTACCACACCGAGACAGCTCAAACCTCGTTACTTTGTGTTACATTTTAGTGACAGCCGGTTAGGATGTTTTTTTGTGTTGTTTGCACAGTGTTATTAAATGTAACAAAGCTAAAGATTTGGTTTTAAAGTAAACATTTACATTTTATGCTGCTTTGTAGACATTTGACCTTTTTTTCTACAGATTTGCCCTTACTTTTTGCAACAAGATAATTGTTGTTTATATTCAGTAGACAATAAACCTCCCATCTGCTCTTTGGTTTGTGAGATATAGTAGAAAAATACAGTGTATGTAAAGCGCACCACACAATTTTAAATAAATTGTCTCCAGAACAGTTTTTTTTAATTCAATAAAGCAGCTTCGTAATAACCATGGTAGATCAAAAAATAATTTGATATCACCCAGCGATTAAATAATTGTGAGTTTCTGAGAGTTATACATCTTAATTATAAAATGCCCCAAAGCATTGTCTTATTTTGCATCTCATTATTTAGGAATACTTTCTTCACATGAAAAAAGAAGGCATGTAGAGTAATGGTTACCCACTGTTAGTTATGGGTTCTTACTTTTTAGTCCTGTAATACAGCGAATGGTTATTCTAAAGAAGGCAGTCAATACAACATGGATATTTCAGTTTTTTGGTGAATGCAGCTGTTTGATTACTTACTACTGCTGTTATTGGCATAGATAAATAGTGTTACCATGGTAATATATATGTGTGTGTATGTATGTATGTATGTATATATATATATATATATATATATATTACTTCTAATAGCTCCTGCCTTGTCATGCTGATCCAGTTCCTTAAATATCAAATTCACTATATACAAGCAAGTTAGTAACCAGTTAGATTACTGCTCTCAGTTTCTATTCCGCACTCTGTGCTAGCACAATGTAACATTAGGGGTCAACATAATAGTAATGTTTACTCTAAGGACATTAAATGGGATTAGAACTCTAACATAGTTCATTGTATTAGTAGG